AGGCAGCAAATGCTGTGACTCTGAAGACTTTAAATAGAAACAGACCATTTTAAAAGGTAAAAACTTTCACATATTAATAACTATGGGGTTAGAAAAGTTTTACAGACCTTTATTACTTTAATTATGCCTTTTCTTTTTTTGTGAGGCATCTTTACTGCAGAAGACACACACACACACACACACACACACATGTTTGTTTTTGTGAAAAGTGGGGACATTACATAGGTTTCCATTCATTTTATACTGTCCAAACTGTATATTGTATTGCCCTCACCCCACCCCACCCCTAAACCCAACCATCACAGGAGACTGTGTGCAGCTTTACTCTCTGATTAAACTCATTCAGTGTGATTTATAAGCATTTTGAGAAATGAGGACGTCACCAATGTCCTCATATTTCACCTCCTTTTTGTAATACCTGTGTCATACCCATGTCATTATACAGATTTGTGTCCTGATATGTCACAAAAACACGTACACACACACACACACACACACACACACACACACACACACACACACACACAACAATTCATTCATTTTCTTTTCAGCTTAGTCCCTTTATTCATCAAGGATTGCCACAGCGGAATAAACCGCCAACTTATCCAGCACATGTTTTACACAGTGAATTACCTTCCAGCTGCATCCCGTTACTAGGAAACACCCATACATTCTCATTCACACACATACACTACGGCCAATTTAGCTTACCCAATTCACCTGTACCTCTTTGGACTTGTGGGGGAAACGGTTTAGGAAACCCACACGAACACGACGAGAACATGCAAACTCCACACAGAAATGCCAACTGACCTAGCTGAGGCTAGAACCACCTTCTTGCTGTGAGGCAATAGTGTTACCCACTGCGAACTGTGCTGGCCCTTTAGATGAATTATTTTCACAGTTTATGTTGGCCTAGCAGTCAAAATAAGACAAATGGGCTCATGTATGTGACAAATTCTGGATCGTTGGATTCTGGATTTTTTTACTTCTTGGTCAGACCCTGTGATATCTATTTACCACTTAGCTGTCGATTAGTTCAGGCCCGTAATTGCTACAATTAAGATTGATGAATTTAATTTTAGTATGCCAATTCATTTCATATGGGACAAATAATGGAGCTAGACTCAGAAGACTCAGCTCTGTTAAATTAAGTCCTTATTTTTGGTTGGTCAAGTGGCAAACTTATAAATAGCAGCCTCAAACCATTCAGATAAAAGAAATTATTAAAAAATAAAAGAAAAATCATTTGGCATAATTATTCTGTTGGATGTTTGTGTAGAAATATACCTATTTTTATGGCTAATATTTAATTCAGCAAGACCCACATAGCTAAATTTCTCTCGCCCAGCTCTGGCTCACACAATCAGCTTTTTCTCGGCCAACATGCTTTGAATTACGGTACATGACCAGACCAAGTCTGAATACCAGACAATGGCCAAGCATGGATCATATCTGTGCCAAGTTAGTAACCCATAACTGGGCCTGAACTGGGCCACATGTTGGTGCATCCTAACTGCAATGAAATTGATAAACCCATGAAGCATTGCGTTTTTTTCTCGAAGCGATCTGATGGGTAGAATTTTTTTCTTTATTTGAAAACAGTAAAAATGTATTTTAAATGGGGGTCAAGATAGTCCAAACTTACATGGCCCACATATCAATTATTGACATCTGAGCCAAATACTACATTTCACATCTGGCCCAAGTATTGTGTGCTGCCTTAAAGAAGATGCCACCTCTGCCAAACCAGGGCCATGTGTGGCTCACGTGCTGTATGCCAATGCCACATGAATACATGCTGTGCCAGATTTATGCCAAATCTAGGCCAAAATTCTTTGCTACCTGGGGAGTAAAACTACCTGCAGTGTGTGTGCAGTGTGCTGCTTGTGTGTGTGTGTGTGTGTGTGTGTGTGTGTGTGTGTGTGTGTGTGTGTGTGTGTGTGTGTGTGTGTGTGTGCACTGTAAAAAAAAATCCTAGTTGCTTTAAAAATTTAAGCTAAATCAAATTAACCTTATGAGTACATTGAACTTCATTCATTCATTTTCTTAGTTTCTTTATTAATATGGGGTTGCCACAGCGCAATGAACTGCCAACCAATCCAGCACATGTTATACGCAGCGTATGCCCTTCCAGCTGCAACCCATCACTGGGAAACACCCATACACTCTCATTCACACACATACGGACAATTTAGCTTACCCAACTCACATATACCACATGTTTTTGGACTTGTTGGGAAAACCAAAGCACCCGGAGGAAACACGGGAGAACATGCACACTCTACACAGAAACGCCATGCACCTGACCCAGCAATGGCAAGCGACCTTCTTGATAAGAGGCGATTGTGCTACTCACTGCACCACCATGCTGCCCCTACATTGAACTTATATTATGTTAAACTGACTTAATACAGCTTGTGTAACTTATAAAATTAGGTTGGAACATGATTAACTTTGTTAATAAAGTTACAATGAACTAAAAACAAATGTTGTCATGAATAATTGATCATATTTATTTACAGTGTGTGTGAGAGAGTGTTTGATATAGAAGCATGTTGTATAGGTTCAAATGTGCACTTGGGTAAAATATGTATCTGCATTGTGTGGGATTTACACATTTTTATTTGGAGAATTTTAGTATTTCCCATATATTTTCTATATGGGTGGCCTTTTTTTGGCAAAGAGTTGTTTTTCAATCACTTAACCTTGATGAATTGTGTACTCTTTTTTTTTGTCCAGATGGCAAACTTAGTCTTGAACTACCCAGATTAAGGAAAGTATTTTTCATTTATTCATTAATTAATTAATTCATTGTATGATTTTGTTCATAATTGTCTTTAGGGATGCTTTGTCACTTAGAGCGTATTCACTCTATGCTATCCGAACCGTGCCCAGGCCCGTTTCCCTGATCGTTTGACAAGTGTGAGTGTTCTGAATCGGGCTCAGGCATGGTTCACTTGGCTGGTCCTGGCCCGGTTGGAAGAGGTGTTCCAGAGCTCGGTTCACTTGGGCTTTGTGGCGGTACACTTGTGTGTAAGTGCAAAACATGCCTGAGCCCGAAACTGAAAGCGAGACGTGACTTTTGAGGGACTGTTTTATATGTGTTTATTAATCATTCTTACTGTTCAATGAGCGCAAACTGTCGTAGATTATGAAAGATGCAAACCCCTCACTGCACGACAGCTGCACCTTCAGGAAACCTAATACCTGCAGCACAACTTTATGAATGTCAAAAGTTGCTACACTATTCTGCCAAATATTCGTCAGCCTGTCACTACATCTCAAACCACTAAACTGATATAACTAAAGAAATCTCCACTGTGCTGAGTGAAAGCGCTTACTGGACAGCTCATCATCGATGACATAAGCGTGCCCAGGCCCGAATGTAATGTGAGTGCAGGCCGTCGAGGGAAACAGGATGAGGGAAAAGCATCCTTTGGCCCGGTTCAAGGCAACTGTACATAGTGTGAATACGCCCTTAGTCTGTATGGACTGTCCTTAGACTGCATATATAAGTTAACATAAGTTGGCCTGTCACAATAATCAATATGTTGACTTGTCGTGCAATACTTGGAGATGAACTCAATCATTTTTGCCATCGCAATATATATTTACAAATTCACAAATAACGTTGAAGGCAATTTACATTTACATTGACGTTCTGACCAGTGTCAAAGTTTATAATTGGGCGTTTACATAATTGGACATTCAATAAATAACGGGACTTTTTATTAAATTATGGAATCTAAAAAACGTTAAAAAGATAAGCATTTTAAAGTGTTTGACTATTTGCATTATTCTGTTATATAATCATTACACAATCAGTGGCATAAAATCATCTCAAAATGACAATAATATCTCTATTGCTATAAGTGCCTACAAAGTGCCTACAAAGTGACTTCTGGCCTTGCTCCTTCTTATCTGCTCTCGCTTCTGCAGCTCTATGTGCCCTCCAGAAACTTGCGTTCTGTGAATGAACGTTGCCTCGTGGTTCCATCCCAAAGAGGGAAGAAATCACTTTCGCGATCGCTCACGCTCAATCTGCCCAGTTGGTGGAATGAACTCCCTAACTGCATCAGAACGGCAGAGTCACTCGCTGTCTTCAAGAAACGACTAAAACTCAACTATTTAGTCTCCACTACACTTCCTAATCTGCAATTGCCTCTCTGAATATCACACTAACTGTACCAAAAAAAAAACAAAAAAAAAAAAAAACTAATACTACTAATACTTCCCTTCTTAGACTTTACAGACCTGAAACTTGCCTATAGCAGTTATTCATTGTTGCTCTTGGTTGTGTAAATTGCTTCCTTGTCCTCATTTGTAAGTCGCTTTGGATAAAAGCGTCTGCTAAATGACTAAATGTAAATGTAAATATATTGCACAACAAGAATTCCCTATTGTGACAGGCCTAAACATAAGAAGTTTTCAACTTTAAAGACTGTCACAAACCAATATTAGGTGTTTAAGAACTTTATTCTTTTTCTAAGATACAAGTTAGATGCATTTCTTAAACTGTTATTGACTGGCATTATCAAGTTGTTTCTGTAAAATTCTTAATGTTGAATTAAAAAAAGCACAAAAAGAGGGAATTCAATATATACTAAACAGAATATATGAGCTAAAGAGAATATATAAGCCTATAAAAAACAGTTAAAACAATTGAGAAAGATTCATAACATTTAAAAGTTAAAAGAAAAGGAATATAATTGTTAGCAAGTTACAAAGTTAATTGACAAGAACATTTTGTAAACAACTACTTCAATAAAAGACTATAAACTATCCCCGAGTAATAGTGTCACAGAATACCTGACCTTAAAACAAACAAGCTTCATGATAAAGTTTATATCAAAAAGCAAACATATTTAATAAAGATGTTTCATTATGCTCTCACTCATCCTGGCTCTTTTTACTTCCAGTGCGGCAATCGGGTTTCTCTCCATTATGGGTCTTCTCATGAACTATCAAGCTTCCCATTCTGGGGAAACTCTTAAAACAGAGTGAACACATGTAAGGTCTTTCATTAGAGTGAACTGGCAGATGCTGTTTCAGCTCAGTATCTGTAAAGTAGCACTTTCCGCAATCAAAGCACATAAAAGGCTTTGTAAGGCTGTGCCTTTTCTCATGCAACCTCAAACCCCTCAACTGATTAAAAGTCTTTCCACAAGTTAAACATGAGTAAATTTGAGCCTTATCATGAGTTTTTATGTGGTTCTTCAGGAATAATGCCGTACTATAACATTTATCACATTGATCACAGTGAAATGGTTTTTCTCCAGTATGGTGCGTCATATGTAATTTGAGAGAGTATCCATGTCTGAAACTCATCCCGCACTGATCGCAGGTATACGGCTTTTCTCCAGTGTGGATTTTCATGTGGATGTTATAGGCTCCTTTCTGTGAGAAGCTCTGGCCGCATTGATCACAAGTGAAGGGTTTTTCTTCTCGGTGAAATCTCATGTGCAGATTAAGACTCTGTTCATAAGGGAAACCCTTCCCGCATTGATCGCATGTGTACGGCCTCTCTCCAGTGTGAATATTCATGTGTTCATTATAGCTTTTTTTGAGTGTAAAACCCTTTCCGCATTGATCACATGTGTACGGCTTCACTTCGCTGTGCACCATTAAGTGGCTCCTAAGCAAATCTCTCATCGGGAAACTCTTTCCGCAGTGTTCGCACTTGTGCGGCTTTTCCCCTGTGTGAAGCTTCATGTGTCTCTGAAGGTGGTCTTCTCTCCCGTAACTCTTCTCGCATTGATCACATTTGTACGGCTTGTATTTAGGGTGGAGTGTCATGTGGCTCCTCAATTGTAACCTGGTTTTGAAACTCTCCCCGCACTCATCACACGTGTATGGATTCCCCTTGGCATGGATATCCAGGTGTAGTTTAAGGCTTTGTTTGTATGGGAAACATTTCCCACATTGATCACATCGATATGGCTTCTCTCCAGTGTGAACTCTCATGTGAATCTGAAGGTGCGCTTTATGTGAGAATCGTTTTTTGCAATGAGAGCAGGCGACTGATTTTTTGGCCTTTGTTTCTCCTTTCTTGTTTCCCTCCATGCGATCTGAAAAGTAAGACGAGATCAAATGTTTAGCAATATATATATTATAAATAGATATAAATATAAAACCCCAAATCTGAAAAGTATTGAAAATGCAAATTAAAAAGAAAGTAGTGCTTTCCAAATTTACTTTGACTTGTATTTGATTGCAGACAATCTGAATACAAAATATTTTATGCTTTGTCTGGTCAACTTTATGTCATTTGTAAATATACATCCTTTCCTGTCTTGCAGACCTGCAACACATTTCAAAAAAAGTTGGGACAGGAGCAATTTAGGGCTGACAATCAGGTCAATTGGTCAAAGTGATGTCAACAGGTGATTGTAATTAAGATTTGGTTCAAAAAAGCTGCATCCAAGAAAGGTCTAGTCCTTTAGGAGCAAAGATGGGCCGAGGATCGCCAGTTTGCCAACAAATACATGAGAAAATGATTGAAATGTTTTGAAACAATGTTCCTCAAAGAAAGATAGGAAGATAGAATATTTCACCTAAACAGTGCATAAATTCATTAAAAGATTTAAGAAATCTCGAGGAATTTCAGAGCGTAAAAGATAAGGGCACAAGCCTAAGCTGAACTAATGTGATCTCTGATCCCTCAGACGGCATTGCATGAAGAATCGTCATTCATCTATAAGCGATATCACCACATGGGCTCAGGACTAATTTGGCAAACCTTTGTTAAGTACCACAATACATAGTTACATCCACAAATACAATTTAAAACTCTACTGTGCCTAAAAGAAAGCCCCGAAGCGCTGTCAACTTCTCTGGGGTCGGAGGTATCTGGGATGGACCATCACACCGTGAAAATGTGTACTGTGGTTAGATGAATCAGTATTTTAGGTATTTTTTGGGAGAAAGGCAGGGTGCAAATTACAGGAGGGTTTGGGGGGGATTGACACCCCTAATTAATGCTTTATACCCCCTTAAGGACATCAAAACAAGATGTATAGGGGGTCAGCTCTCAGCTCTTTAATAGTAAGAAATGGCTTTTTTCAATATTATCTTTCTTAAATATTAATAATTAAAAATGTATAAAATAAAAATATACATTTGACCCACCCAAACTGACTATTTTTTTGTTTTTAATTAAAAAAAATTTAATTAGACACGTAGTTTGTATAGTTTGACCTTCAGTACCCTCTAAAATAGTCACTAAATATCCTTCAAAACACTGAAAATGTATACATTTCATTAATAAATTAGATGTCATTTAAATGCGTTCATATATTTGAGTCACTAAAGTATGTTTTATCAAATTATCAACTAGCAACTATAACACTAAAGAAAGGCATAGGGTTGTGTCAGTGGCAACTTGCACTTCTGTAAAAGGCACCATTAATGCTGAGAAGTGCATGGAGATTTTTGAGCAAAATATGCTGCCTTCAAAAATACATCTTTTTCAGGGACACTCATGCAGTTTCAACAAGATGCAAAACCATGTTCTGCACACATTACAAAGTCCTGGCTGCGAAGGAAGAGGAAACAGGCACTTGACCGGCCTGCCTGCAGTCCCGACCTGTCTCCAATAGAGAATATGTGGTTGATTTTGAAGTGCACAATACGATAACGAAGACCCTGTACTCTTGATTACTTTAGGACTTGTTTGCAGGAAGAATGGGACAAAATTACACCGGAAACACTTCATCACTTGTTGTATTCAGTCCCTAACCATCTTCTATGTGTTGTGAAAAGGAATGGCAACATTACAAAGTGAATGATTTACTGCTCCAACTTTTTTTTGAAACGTGTTGCAAGAAACAAAATTAAAATATGTGTTTATTTAAAAAAACAAAAAAGAATAAAAATCACGAGGAACACATTAAATAATGTCTTTTGTACTGTCTGCAATAAAATACATAAAGTTAAAGTAAATTTTAAAAGCACAACTTTTTTTTATTTGCGTTTTTCATACTGTGCCACTTTTTTCTGATTTAGGGTTGTATAATTATAGCAATGTTAGATAATCATTTTACCAACATGAAAATCCAATGAACAATACATTTATTAAAATATTTATTTATATTTGTTAAGGTTATTTTTTGAAAATAAAGTTCATTGTTAGTTTGTTAACTCACAGTGCTTTAAATAATGTTAACAAGCAATATTTAATCTAATCTTTAATATCTTTGCCATCGCATAATTATCCAGAATCAAGAAATATATAATCATTTTAATTGTATTACTTGTCTGCTGAAAATGTACCTGCTGACTGGGTTTTTTCTGTGCTTTTGTTTTAAAAAAGACCTTATTTATCAAAATGGGAATAATAAATGGAAACCAGAGCGGCAAAAAAGTGGACTGGCACTAAATATACTCGGGTTACTGATGTATAGTCTTCGCTCTTCAGCATCATTAATGAAGAATCAAGAACAGACACCAACCTCTTTGTCCTTCAGCATTGTGATGCTCTGTTCTGCAGGGTTTTGTTGTATTCTTCATCTTCACGCTTTTCTCTATTTCCAAGTGTGAATTGGGATCGTTGAGTGGTAGTTCTGAAATAAACAAATCAACAAGTTTACAACAAAGAAATTTACAACAACAAGCCATAGATCACAGCTTTATCACACCTAAATGTCTCTCAGTCAACCTACAATCTGCGAAGAGGACATTAAAACCAAAGACAATTAAACCACCAGATTCAGACTGTTTCCAGACACTGACTAAACAAATCTTTAAACAGATCACTGGAGCAGTGTGAAGTTCCCTGCTGTTTAATGATAACAGACATGCCGATTTAACACCTATTGACATTGAGATTTGTGTTTACCCACCTACTAAACCCCCTGCAGCTTCGGGAAAAATACATTCTGCAATATCAGAAGCCTGTTGCACAAAATGAGTTGAACAAACTCTGGATTGACAAAAATCAAACAAATTCAGCCTGGTTAAGATCAGGTTAAGTTGTTTCACAATGCTTATAAACATTTTATAAACATTCTCTGTTAACCCAGACTTTGTGATTAACACAGGACTGCATGCAGCTGAAAGTGTGACACCGAACAGCCAATCACAGGAAATATGAGAGCACCGCATTGATTGATTTGACCTGCAATATGGTATCTTTATAAGGATTAAAGCTGCGGTCACACTGCACTTTTCTCCCTAGACTTTCATTTATACGCATGTGAATGCGGCAGCACAGAAACGTAAGGTCGTGCAGCAAGTTTCGCAATTTGCTGCATTGAAAGTTCTAGCTTTAGATTTACATTTAGTCATTTAGCAGATGCTTTTATCCAAAGTGACTTACAAATGAGGACAAGGAAGCAATCTACACAACTACAACAGCAACAATGAATAAGTGCTATAGGCAAGTTTCAGGTCTGTCAAGTCTAAGAAGGAAAGCATTAGTAAAAATTTTATTTTTTTATTTATTTTTTTGAGTACTGTTAGTGGTATGTACAGAGAGGCAATAGCAGATTAGGAAGTGAAGTGGAGACTAAATAGTTGAGTTTTTAGTCGTTTCTTGAAGACAGCGAGTGACTCTGCCGTTCTGATGCAGTTAGGGAGTTCATTCCACCAACTGGGCAGATTGAACGCGAGCGTTCGGGAAAGTGATTTCTTCCCTCTTTGGGATGGAACCACGAGGCGACGTTCATTCACAGAACTTAATTAATTAATTTATTAATCATTCTTACTGTTTATTGAACGCAAACTGTCGTAGTTTATTAAAGACGCAAACCCCTCACTGCATGACCGCTGCGCACTTTCAGCAAACCTCCTAATTTCTGCAGCATGAGGAATTTATGAATGTTTATGAGCGTCAAAAGTGGCTGATCTGTTTAGCGAAATATCTGACTGCGTGTCACCGCATATTAAACAACTTAAATTATATAACTCAAGAAATCTCCGCTGAGGAAGAGCCCTAACTGAACAGTGCTGCATTAATGACGCAAGCGTGCCCAGGCCCAAAGGTTCCCAGATGATTTATTATTTCCAGTAAAATTCATAGCGTAAAAGCGTCCATTCTTTAACCGCTAATATTGCCCACTGTAGGAGAGAGCGGGGCACAAAGTAACACTTTTTGGTTTTGGCCAAATAATGAACAAAGTAACGGTGTTACCATTTTTTTTTACCAACAACACGCAAGCCTCTCCTATGAGCACTGAAAGTATGATCGCTGGATCTTTCGTGCAGTATTGCCAAATGTGCCAGTAATAAAAATTGTACTTTTTACCCCACCTGTGGGGCAGGTTGTAACAGTTGCCTAAAAGTCAGATTTCACTCAATTAATTGAAATTTAGTTTACTTTATTTTGTGTATTTCCTCAGTAGCTAATTTCTTCTTATTCCACACAGCACAGTGGGTTTAATTAAGTATTTATCTATTAAATAAACACATTAGTATTTATTTGCATTATTATCTATTGTTATACAATGCCTTTATTTGAAATATTATGAGCAATAAAACAATTTTCTTTTATTAAAAAATATTTTATGTATTAAAAAAAAATATTTAAAAAGTTCCCAACATTACACCCAAAATTCAACAATTATTTTGTTGTTTTCCCAAAACTGGCTAGCAGTCATTGTGTGTATTTTAGCCTAGAAGACATAATTAATCACAACAATATTAGCTGTTACTTGCATACTTTCACAGATTTTTTTTTAAATAAAAAAACATAGACTGTAATAAAAATACTTTTTCCTGTGTTTCTCATCCAAATTTTGCCGAACTTTTACAATAATTGGCAGGAAGACGTCTGCCGATATTGTGGTAAAAACCTTGAAAATGCCATGGTTAACCCTGAGCAAATACCTTAACATTTTACCCTGTGTTGGAATTGGACGTGATTTTGGTTAGAACTAAAAACGCGGGTAAAAAGTGTAAATAAACTACAAAATTTGTGGATGTGCGGGACCAACCGTGAAGTAGAGAGGTTTAAGTTGTTTGAATGACTGTTAATTAATATCTAGCCAACTGGGACATATTTAAACCATGTTATATTTCATCTGTAACAACAAAAACTTATTTAAACATAAGTTTGGACATTATTGTCTAAATGCATTACTCAAAGACCTGAGAAAATTTCTCTGCATAGAAGACTCGTGAATGGGAGATTATCCTGCTATGCATCTCCAATAGGAATTTAAATATGAAAGAAATGTGGTTGATGTCTGGATGATTAACAGGGTTAATCAGGGTTATTATAAAAAAAATATAATTTATATTATATACCCTTTAACAACAAGCAGGTCAGAATAACAAGGTTAAGGTTTAAAAAAATCACTGAACATTAGTTAAGCAATCACACATGAGCAAGAGTGCTGTTATTCTAGCACAAGTGTAAAGCATGACATTGATTTTACACAACAGTTTAATACACAAAAAGAAATAATAAGTTACTTACATTTTAGATGCAAAATTGTCTCTGAGCAACACACAGCAGTTCCTTACTGAATGATTCTGTGTTTTGAGTGAGTCGGTTAGGGTGAAGTTTTGCAATGGCTGCACTATCAATCGTCTGCATCCTACTGATACTCGTTTCTTCACAGATCAGTGCTTTTAAGCTCTTATAGCCCCCCTGAAGAAAAGCCCCCTCAAGCCCAAACCGTTAAAACGCCACTCCTAATCTTAAGGGAAGAGTTGGCCAAAAATTTACATTTAATCAATCTTGGGTTGTTTCAAACCTTTCTGAGTTTCTTTTTTTTTTTTTTTTGTTAAAACCAAAAGAAGACGTTTTGAAGAATGTTGGAAACTTGTAACCATTGAGCTGCTACACTGGATACACTGTAAAATAAATGACATTCGAATTATGGAATTAAGTTAACTGATTAATGTTTACAAAGTGGATTTAACACAAAACAATTTAGTTGTCACAAAAACCTCAAGAATTGTGTTATTTTAGCTTTTTACAAACAAGTAGTTTGAACAAACATAATTTATAGAATGTAGCGGTTTTGTGTTCAACAGAAGAAATACACTATTAGTGAAGGGTGAGTGAATGATGACAGAATCTGAAGAATGAAGAATATATGAAGAATGTAACACAACCAAAGCCAAATAAGACTGAAATCATGTTTAAAAGACAAGTGGTTAGAATGTCTGAAGCTACTTGCATTTTGGCAAGGGGTAAAGATTAAGATAATGAAAATTATGCAGTTAGATCTACCTTTTACTCCCCTGTTTTATTTGATTGAAAGTATACCCCGGGATGTATATATTAAAAACCAGAAATATATATACTACATATACTTTTACTTAGTGCAAAAAAGACGATAACAATAAATTGGATGAAGCCACACCCTCCAACAACAGAACAGCGGATAGAAAAACTTGAATATATATATATATCTACCTTATATATCTATATATATAAAATGAAGTTTATGACTGCTCAACCACAATTGAAATTGCATATTTAAACAAAGATGGGTACTTATTACTATATCTCTGAACAGGACATAGTATTTCCAGCTCCTTTGAAATTGAAAATAATGTATGTATGTTTTTTTATGTTTTGTAATTTATTTTTATTTACATCTAGTGTTACTTTATTTTTTCTGTCTTTATTTGTAATAATCGATGCTGTCACTGAATGTTTTGTTCTGTAAAAGATTTTAGTGGATAAAAATAAAGTAAACAAAAATAAGTGGTTATAATTGAGGTTCATGCTAGTTTTTTTTTCTTCTAAATTAAAAAAAAACAACAGCTAAAGGAAGCTAGTTACTTTTACATGTATCACATGGTGCTGATAAAAGTAGTTTTTTTTATTTAATACATTTAAACAGTAAATTAAACAGCAATAAACAGTGAAAAACATTTTTTGGTGTAATCATTATCAATTTAGCACTATATAATTATAAACAAAACGCTCAGTCTCCAAAAATCCCTCCTTTGTTTTCTGTCGTTCTTTTTTTTCCATACAATATTGAAGGTTGATCCTTCTGCTTATTTTTATACTTTAATTTTCAGACTTTAATTAAGTATAAAGAATAAACTTTAAGCTGAAGTATATGGATTACTTTCAAGAAAATATTTGATAGTAATATTGATAGAAATAATATAATATTAATAATAATGGGTGGTGGGGTGGCGCAGTGGGTAGAACAATCGCTTCACAGCAAGAAGGTCTCTGGTTTAAGCCTCGGCTGGGTTATTTGGCATTTCTGTGTGGAGTTTGCATGTTCTCCCTGTGTTGGTGTGGGTTTCCTCCAGGTGCTCCGGTTTCCCCCTCAGTCCAAAGACATGCACTATATGACTTGGGTTAGCTAAATTGGCCGTAGTGAATGATGTGTGTTTGTGAATGAGAGTGTATGGGTTGTTGCTGGAAGGGAATCTGCTGCATAAAACATACTGTACGCTGGATAAGTTGGCAGTTCATTCCGCTGTGGTGACCCCTGATTAATAAAGTGACTAAGCCAAAAGAAAATGAATGAATGAATAATAATGTGCCAAAGACACACGGAACTGCTGCGATCAATAAAATGAATCTAAAGTTAGGTTTAAAAAAATGAGAAAAGTTTTCTCCCCTAAAATTTCCAAAAGATTATCAGTTTCATTAAATATTTTATATTTCAGCTATATCTTTCTACAGCTACCGCAGACTGTATTTGACCTTGTGTGTATATTTTAAAATACTTAAAATTATCATAATCATGCTTTTAATGAATGTCTTTGAATGGATTTAAACGGTAAATAAAGTTTTTTATTAATTTTATTATTACTAAAATGCTACAAATTCAATAAACAGAATCTTTAAAGTCTCCAAAATGTTTTTTTCCCCCTTCTTTTTTCTCTGTTGTCTTATGTTTTCATTTAAACACAAATACAGTACTCATGGCTGATCAATCAATCAGCAATAATTCTTAAAAAACATATTCTTGTGTCCAATAAATACAGACATTTCTGACGGCCAGCCATACAGACAAAATATATTTAAAGGAGATCTGCATTAAAAAAGAATGAAATCACAAATAAACTTGTAACATATTGTAAAAATGAATTACAAATATTTTAGACAGGATAACATTAAAACGGAGACATGGTGGCACAGTAGGTAGTGCTGTCGCCTCACAGCAAGAAGGTCGCTAGTTCGAGCCTCCGCTGGGTCAGTTGGCATTTCTGTGTGGAGTTTGCATGTTCTCCCCGCTTTCGAGTGGGTTTCCTCTGGGTGCTAGGTGGATGTTTCCCAGTGATGGGTTTTGGGCAGGAAGGGCATCTGCGGCGTAAAAACGTGCTGGATAAGTTGGTGGTTCATTCCGCATTGGCGACCCCAGATTAATAAAGCGACTAAGCCGAAAAGAAAATGAATGAATGAATAATAACATTAAAACATTTTAGTAATCTTATTAAAACATATTTAAATGTGTCTAATAATAAAATGTATGTTTGATGTTTAAATAAGGTGCATTTAAATGGGACAAATCTAAAAAATGTGAAAGGTTTTGTATGCAAATGTGTAAAGGTGTTGTATTTTCTATAATAATTAATTATATATTATTCCATTTTTAAATTTACTTTTAAGCATTCATATTACTAGGATATGCTATACTCATTTTCCTGTTTTGTATATACGTTCTAAAGACTAAATGTACTTTTCTGTAGTTTGACTATTGAAATATGTTATTTATGTCTTTGAATTTGTTTCAGGAGTTGTTTTTATTTTTTTTAAAGTTAGTATTTGCAAAGTGCTGATCTGTTTCTTTAACTGTACTTTCTCTAAATGTATTAGACTTCACCTATAGTGTGTGCTTCACTGGTCACGTTGAAATGACTGGTGGAGGAAACATCTTGTAAGGAGTAGATTAGAGCTGTGTGGATACGTTTGTTCGGTCTTTACTTATCAGCACAGGCATCTGGTGCTGACACAAGGGTGTAAATTCTGCTGCTGATTTTTCCTGCTCTTTAGTGTGTCAAATATTACAGATTTTATAGCACATGCCGTTTGCTTTATTATAGCATTCTGAGGAATTCTTTGATGGGACAGTCTGAGAAATGATAAGTTATTTCAATGCAAATTGTATAAAATGTTGACGAACGCAAACATGGTGTTAAATTTAATTTTATAAATTTAATTTAAAAACCTTTGAAGTTGGTTTAGTCCATTTTGACACCCAGAATTGGGTTGAAATCCCAAATCCCAACAACAAGTTGCTGTCATTTACTCTCTTACATTATTCACTGACATCTTAAATCTGCCATTTATCTGCCATTTATTTTAATTTCATAATTGTTCCTCATGAAACTGTAATCTCCATCCATTTTCTTCTACCGCAGAATAAACAAAAGGCAAACTGAATTTTCATTGTATGCAAAAGCAGACTTATTTATTTTACATTTACAGTTATTTTCATTTAAATAGTTTATTATTATTCTTTATTTATTAAGATGAATGGTTATGAAAGCAACACGATTAGATTTTCAAGCTGTTTGAAGCACTTTATCCAAAATCTGAGCACTTTTTAAACCTAAAAATGCAAACAAATTTAAACAAGCAGTTTCAAGGATTTCCAGCACCCGTATAAACCCTGCTCTTGAGATCTTCTGTTGAAGCTTTCAGCTGCCAAAGCCTTGTTTTTTTTATTATTAAAGTCAGTTTTCAGAATGTAGATATTATACATATAATTATTGTCTGTTAGACTAAAATGGATAGATTTAAAGAACAACAGCATTTACATTTTTCAATGAATATAGGCCTGTATATATAGTATTTTCAAGACACTTCTATACAGCTTAAAGTGACATTTAAAGGCTTAACTAGGTTAATTAGCTTAACTACGCAGTTTAGGGGAATTAGGCAAGTTATTCTATATCGATGGTTTGTTCAGTAGACTATCAAAAAATATATATAGTTTAAAGGGGCTAATAATATTGTCCTTAAAATGGTGCACTAAAATTGTTTTAAACTGCTTTTATTCTAGCCAGGATAAAACAAATAAGACTTTCTTCAGAAGAAAAAATATTGGGGCTAATAATTCTGACTTTGTACGTATATATATATAGGAAGAGGAAAGTATAAACAGAATACCATCATCCTCAATAAATTTGTATGCAGTTATTAAATAAATACTGGTTCACAAATTTTAAAATGTGTATAGAGCTTTCTAATTTAAAGAGTCTCTGATATTGATAAGCATATTTCAGTCAGAAAAACAAAATGCATCAAAATAGTTTTCTTTAACTTACTTAAAATGAACAGATCTGCAGACCTGGTGCAGTTGCAATTTAAGCTGCATTCTATCCACCCACCTAACCCCACCCCTAACTCTACCCATCACAGTGTCACTAGCTCCATTAATTGCATTGTGTCTAACATTGCATCTCTGAGATATGCAGTCTCAGCTTGCATCATAGAGGCTGCATACAGATACTATTGCTTTTTCTGATGCTTTCAACTTCCCTGCTGAAAATAAAACAGCTTAAACCAGCCTAGGATGGTTTAAGCTGGTTGACCAGCCTGGTTTTACAGGGGGTTGAGCCATTCAAGGCTGGTTTCCAGCCATTTTCAGCTTGGTCTTAGCTGGTCAGTCTGGGAGATGACCAGATAAAATCAGCTTGACAAGCCTAGTCAGACTGGGAGCACAGCCAAAACCCAGTCATGTTCCAGCCTGACCAATTAAATGTATTTTATTAATGGGTAAATATAATAAATATTCTTGTAAATGGAAAAAAATTGGCCCTCTTTTAATAGTTTTCTTTTTTAGGAGAAGGAAAGTGGTTCAAAACAGAATAACTGAAGCCTTTTGTAGTGCAATCTCAAAATATACATTATTATTTGCTCCCCGATGCTTGTTTTGTTGGATTTGTTGTATTTTATTTAAATGTGTGTGTATATTATGATGTTGACTTTTCCCTGTTTTGTGGTTTAAAATTTGCAGTAATAAAACAGTCGAAATAAAAGTAGTGAACAATAATAATCTGCATCTGGTGTATCATTTGCGTGGCTCCGACGTCGCACCTTCTCCTCGTTTACTGGTTCCGCTCGTCATTTTGTTTTTCCGGGTGCGCTCCATCTTCCAGCGCCGACCGAGCTGTGCCAACAACCGCATCTTCCATCTCCTCGTTGGGAAGTGCTGCAATAACCACACATCTGTACATCCCGCGTCGATTCTTACATCGCTTGTCCGTATGTATTTACATCATCTGTTTGCTTCCCAATTTAGGACACGACAGGCGGCTATTTTTAGCCGATAAAGGTCCTGATTTCCAAGATTTTCACTAGCCTAGCATAGCTGGATCATTTATTTCGGTCACGCCCCATTTTTAAACGCAAAAAGGATTAAAATTGGTGACACACAGCTTTAAATAATGAGTTGAAGATGTGTGTTTGGTGTATGTAGTCGGTGGCTTGTGTTGTCGTGTTGTTTGTTCGTGTAGTATATGGTCCACACATAACTGTCCCCTGATGATTTCCTGTGTAAAACTGAGATTTGAAGACCTTTTCCTAATTTTATGAACGCATAAATATTTTAATTTAGCATTTAATTTAGTGAGGATATTGTACAGATTTTCTGAATTGCTAAAATGTTGTTTTGGGAATGTACTTCATATGAACTTGAAGTGATTTCCTCCTTTGCAGATTTGAGAAGCTGTCAGAATGACTGACTCAAAGTATTTCACCACCAACAAAAAAGGCAAGTCACTTTATGATCTTCTTACAGTTTGATTTAAGGTATGGAATGATATTAGGATATAAATGACTGTTTACTCAAAATAATGTTTCGTATAGACCTTTGATTGCATCCTAAAATCAAAATGTGTGCAGTATTTCATTAAGAAAAGCATAATATGCAAAGGCGCAGTCGGGACCTATGGTCATATATTTTGGTCCTGTCCAGAAGTATCTGAATTTTGGAAAAGTATCTTCGGACTTTACTCCCAGGCTTTTGAAATGGACATAAAAATTGATGTAGAAATAGCATTGTTTGGATGGTCAGACCAGGCTCTAACTTGGCCTAAACATCAACAACTCTCCTTTATGTTTGGCATGGTGTTGGCCAAGAGAGTGATTCTGATGGAGTGGAAATCCACAACACCTCCAAATTTTTTTAAATGGTTAGCTGAAATGGTTTCTGCCCTCAAGTTGGAAAGGATACGCTTCTCTAGATTTGGCAAACAAAAGTTGTATGACAAAACATGGGGCCCCTTCCTCAGATGTATAGGTTATTAATGTTTCTGTAATATTTTTTTTTTCTGGTAATTTTTTTTTTTCTTCTCTCCACTTCCTTTTTACATGTTATTCTATTCTGTCTCTTATTCCATCAGTCTGGCTAAAATTTCTTTATTGTTTTGTGATGGTGCTGTAAAATTGCTGTTATGTTTGCTTGTGTTTTGGTGCATGTTCTAGTTAGTATAAGGTAATAACACTGAGACAAGTTTGTCAACAAATATATATGATGTACATTATTTGGTGTTATGTTCTTACAAAAACTTCTATAAATAAAGTATAAAAAAAAAAGAAAAGCATAATAAATCGAGGAAACTAACTTATTTAATTTATTATTATTATTATTATTATTATGTTTCCCAGAGATGGGTTGCGACTGGAAGGGCATCCGCTGCGTAAAAACTTGCTGGATAAATTAACGGTTCATTCCGCTGTGGCGACCTCGGATTAATAAAGGGACTAAGCCGACAAGAAAATGAATGAATTATAATTATTTTTTTTTATTATTATTTAAATTTTTATTATTATCATCATTATCATTATTATAATTATTATTGTCAACGGTACTATAGTGAAACTATGAAATTTTAACAAAATGTGTTCCTGTAAGCCCCTATGAAATTTAAAAATATTTTTTCCATTTCAGTTCATTCATTCAATCATTTTTCTTCGGCTTAGTCCCTTTATTATAGTCCCGCCAACTTATCCAGCATATGTAACCCAGCACTGAGAAACACCCATACATTCTCAGGCATTCACACACACTCAATTTAGTTTATTCAATTCACCTATAGTGGAAGTCTTTGGACTTTGGGGAAAACCTTAGCACTCGGTGGAAACCCCACGTGAACACAGAGAGAACATGCAAACTCCACACAGCCAGGACTTTAACCAGCGACCTTCTTGCTATGAGGTGACAGTGCTAACCACTGAGCCAATTTTACACTGAGTTGTAAAATTGTAAAATGTAATGTATAAACATTGTAAATTGTTCAACTTTGATTTGAAATCAAATTGAATGCCGCCCCTCCAACTGAAATGGAGGGGCATTTTGCCATGAAATAGCCATAAGTTGCTGATGTGGCAATAAATAAATAAATAAATAAATAAATAAATATCTCTTATGTCCAGTGTTGTGTTTGTATTTATGATTAATTTATTATTATTATTATTATTGTTATTATTATTATATTAATTTATATGATTAATTCATGTAGCACCGTTGTCATCCGAGATTTGACATTTCATTCTTCTGTATGTCCACGCATGTAGCGGAATGACAATAAAGCTCGACATTACTGTACTTTATAGCTCCTGCTCTCTTTATTAGACGTTGTTATCAGCATTAGCCTTGGTTAAAAAGAAAACTCAGATGGGTTGACTGTAATAATAATCATTTTATTTCCTGTTTTAGGAGAAATCTTTGAGCTGAAGGCCGAGCTGAATAATGAGAAGAAGGAGAAGAGGAAAGAGGCAGTGAAGAAAGTCATCGCCGCCATGACGGTGGGCAAGGATGTCAGGTACTCATTTATCTGTAATACCTCTTGCATTATCAGAAGATGGTCGAGTCGAATAGTAACAGGAAGGTTATTTCTTTTTACTTGCGTTGTTAGTTCGTTGTTTCCAGATGTGGTGAACTGCATGCAGACGGACAACCTGGAGCTGAAGAAGCTGGTTTACCTGTACCTTATGAATTATGCCAAGAGTCAGCCGGACATGGCCATCATGGCAGTTAACAGCTTTGTCAAGGTAAAATTTGCTGTTAGTAGCACTTAGAAAGTGGTAGTTTGGATAAGTCTGTTCAGATGTTTAGTTTTAGATATTCAAATTCCAACAGGGCTACATGATCTATCAAAGTAAAGTCAGTATGGTAATATGGCTTCACATGATTTTCAGATTGACTCGATAGCATGTTTTATTTGCCTATTAGCCTCTTCAAAAACTCTAAAAAAAAAAAAAAAAAAAAAAGAAGAAATTAAGGCAATTTGTTTCTAACTATTACTCTTGTCCTTTTGCAGGTATTTATATAACTATTGCAAAAGGTCCCATGAAATAATGAAATATTTTTTCTATTTTTTATTATTTTGTAGAAGTCATGAAAAGTATTTTTTAAACAATGTTTTCTGTTACATTTGCAAATTTGCAACTTACACAGTTACATTTGTACCTAGAAGAATTTCAAAAATAAATATAATAATAATAATAATACATTTTATTTAAAGGCGCCTTTCTGGCAACTCAAGGACACCGTACAATAAAACAAGAGCAATAAAACAACAAGAGAAATAATAAAAAATATACACAGCAATAGTGCAGATAAAATCAGTTACTTACGCATTAAAAGCCATTTTAAATAAGTGGGTTTTTAGTCTTGATTTGAATAGTGTAAGGGAGTCAATGTTTCCGATGGCAGGTGGTAGTGAGTTCCAAAGCTGGGGAGCAGAGCGGCTGAATGCTCTGTTGCCTATAGACGTGAAGAGGGAACAGACAAGTGTAGGGAGGAAGAAGATTGCAGGGTGCGAGAAGGAACAGAAATGTGCATGAGGGCAGACAAATATTGAGGGGCGAGATTGTGGATGGCTTTGAATGTCAACATCAAAATTTTAAAATCAGTTCGAAAATGATATAAAATAATCAAATCATTAAGTAAAGTAAATCATTTTAGTTTATTATTATTTTTATTTTTGATCTATTCAGAACAACCTGCAATACATACTTCACACAAAACAAAATTTTACAATGTCAATATTTTCCACAATCGTGCAGGCCTCAATTCCACCAGAACATCTGAATTTGTTCTTTCCTTTTCCCTTTTTTGTAGGACTGTGAGGATCCAAACCCTCTGATCCGTGCTCTGGCTGTGCGCACGATGGGTTGTATCCGCGTGGACAAGATCACTGAGTACCTCTGTGAACCTCTGCGAAAGTGTCTGAAGGATGAAGACCCGTACGTGAGGAAGACTGCAGCCGTGTGTGTGGCCAAACTGCATGACATCAATGCTCAGATGGTGGAGGACCAGGGCTTCCTGGACTCTCTCCGGGACCTGATCGCTGACTCCAATCCCATGGTAAGATATTTCTATTCAATGCTATTTTTAACAAAACAGGGTTCAACGCTAAGGATTTTTTGTACTGGTCTGATCGGGCCAGTGGTTTAGATTTTTACTTGCCCTGCCAAAATTTTCACTGGCCCCACCAAAAAAAAAAAGGGAAGTTAATAGCTATATTTTAGCCGCAAGTTTGTGAATCTACAATTTTAATACTTAAAAAAAATTAATTACAGTGTTATGCAAACAAAAAGAGTAGTATGGAAAATGTGGAGGTATTTTATTACAGTTCGAAATTATTTAATCTGCAGAGTGGATGACAACATCAACAGCCTGAGGTATCAAGACATTTGTGCTGCCCATTACATTATAAACCACAGGAGAGGGAAAATTCTTCAGCAGGATAGCGCTCCTTATCATACTTCAGCCTCCACATCAGAGTGGGCTGACTTGTCAAACTGACGGCAAACTGTGCAAAACATCACGTTGCTCATATGTAAATGTCTGCTTCCAAGACATTAGAAACAGACATTTTCTTTTAGCCTTATATGTTGATGTTGCCGCCATGTTGCTGTATCTTCTCTGTTCTGGTTGTTACCAGGTTATGGAAAAAAATTGCATGCTCAAAACATCAAATCAGATAAGAGGAACCTTAAAGCAATATGGTGTTTACGACATCACAGACAAGGTAGTACTTAAAAGCACAAACTTAAAATGCATGCAATTAACAAATAGTCGCAGACGAATTAAATGTTAGTGACAAGGCAGTACTGTCCCAATCGGGCCAGTAATGATCCTGTCTACTGTTCCAAGCATCTCTCACGCTAGCCCTGGGCCACCGGGCAGTCCTTATTGTTGAGCCCTGCAAAAGAGAAAAATTATCACAATATACCCCAGCGTGCACGGATAAAATAAAATCTGGAAAGGTGACAGAAGGTAGATTTTGCCCATAAATCATCTAGTGAACTGCATCCCATTCAACACAAATGGAACCCACATGGACCCAAGATTCATACAGAAATCAGTCAATTTTAATAAAGGAAAAATCATGGTTTGGGGTTACATTCATTGGGGGAGCATGCGAGAAATCTGCAGAGTGGATGGCAACATCAACAGCCTGAGGTATCAAGACATTTGTGCTGCCCATTACATTACAAACCACAGGAGAGGGAAAATTCTTCAGCAGGATAGCGCTCCTTCTCATACTTCAGCCTCCACATCAAAGTTCCTGAAAACCAAGAAGGTCAAGGAGCTCCAGGATTGGCCAGCCCAGTCACCAGACATGAACATTATTGAGCATGTCTGGGGTAAGATGAAGGAGGAGGCATTGAAGATGAATGCAAAGAATCTTGTTGAACTCTGGGAGTCCTGCAAGAGCGCTTTCTTTCCAATTCCAGATGACTTTATTAATAAGTTATATGAGTTATTGCAGAGATGTACGGATACAGTCCTCCAAGCTCATTGGAGTCATACACAATATTAATTCTTTTTTAATTCTTACCACTTCTGATACCAAATGATCAACTAGAAGTCAAGTTATTATTTGTTGTTGCTTAAACTTGAAAAGGTATATATAGTTGTATATGTTTGTGTATATACACATAATTGATCAAATATGCATTATTACATCCATCTGTGTATTTATGTAGAAATAATATAAACAGTACACAAATATATTATGTAAATACAAACTTTTATTTTGGATGTAATTAATCGTTTAATAATTTTGCAATTGCAGAAATTCAAATTAAATCCTAATTTAAGAATTTTTCTGTGGCCATTTTGGAAGATCTGAGCAAGTTTGATCAGCATTTAAATTATAAATTGCATCAAGTAATTCCTGACGTTGTAACAAAACGTGTTTTGGTTTTATAATCGTTGGGATAAAAGCTATTTAATTCGATTCAATTCACCTTTATATGTTTAGTGCTTTTACAATGTAAATTGTGTCAAAGCAGCTTCACATAGAATATCATAGTGAATTGAAACAGTGTCAGTTAAGTTTTCAGTGTTTAGGTTCTGTTCAGTTCAGTTTAGCTCAGTTCAGTGTGGTTTAATAGTCACTACTAAGAGTCCAAACACTGAAGAGCAAATCCATCGATGCAAAGCTCTACAGATCCCGAACCATGCAAGCCAGAGGCGACAGCTGCGAGGAAAACATTACCAATTGGCTAAAGTGAAGAATTAGAAAACCTTGAGAGAAAACAGGCTCAGATGGGCACAATCATTTCTCCTATGGCCAAACGTCTTGTGCAGAGCCGCAATTAAGGCGCCGTAGGCTGGGCACTGCTGTACCTCAGAGAAGACTCATCTGTCCCTGGAGTGTTACAGGAATCAGTCTCATGCTCTCCACTCCTCCCTGACCACAACAGCAGCTGTTCAGGATACGGCCTGATCCAGGATTATGGAAACCTTGGGATCATCTTGTTGCTGGTCTTGGATTGAATCAGTGGCGCTGCGTAGTTTAAGGGCCTCGGGATGAGTATCCCCAGGTGAAATAGAGAATAAAGAGAATAATTAGCGTAGATGCTGTTCATAGTGTATATAAACGAGATGCAAAAACCTGCGTGAATAACATTCATGAATCATACGGCCAAAGTGTATGCTTTGATAAAAAGATAGGTCTTTAATCTAGTTTTGAATTGGGAGAGTGTTTCTGAGCCTCGGGCATTATCAAGGAAGGCTATTCCAGAGTTTAGGAGCCATAAATGAGGAGGCTCGACCTCCTTTACTCGACTTTTTTATTCTAGGTACTACCAGAAGCCCTGAGTTTTGAGATCTTAAAGAGTAGGTTCTGGATAAAAACGTGTTCTGAATAAGACATGCAGAATTTACACTCAAATGTTTAGTATCGCAGGGATATTATCATTAAAATATTCATCATATAAATCCCCCTATACATTAATATAGATTAGTAGTTTTAATACTTCCATGATCAGCGTGTTTTATTTTGATATCTTTGATTAAAAAAAAAGATGTTAAAGTAAATCTTGAATCCGAAACATCTTATATATATTTAGTTTTGGAATAAGCATGAAACAAAGAAAGAAATCTATACTTGCGAGTCTATACCTATGTGTTGGCAGTTTTTATTCAAATCTGATGCTCTCCTATAGGTTGTGGCCAATGCAGTTGCTGCTCTGTCTGAGATCAGCGAGTCTCACCCCAACAGCAACCTTCTGGACCTGAACCCTCAGAACATCAACAAGCTTCTGACGGCTCTTAATGAGTGCACTGAATGGGGCCAGATCTTCATCCTGGACTGCCTCTCCAACTACAACCCCAAAGACGAGCGGGAGGCCCAGAGGTACTTTTTCTGTTTTTTACTCCACTTTATCCATTGTCTGTATGTAGCTTATGGGGAGAAAGTGAGTGTACTCTAGTATTTGTCATAGGGATGCACGATATATCGGCGACCATATTGTTATCGGCCGATAAATACTATGTTTAATGGTATTGTTTTTTTGCTTTGCGTAGGCTATTCTAAGATAAGTTCAAACTTTTATTACGTTTATAAAATAAAATCAGTTGTTTATTTTATAAAAATATTACATTTTGAAATATTTTAATTTATCTGCCTTTATATCGGTTATCAATATCGGCCATAAAATCCATATCGGTGCATGACTAATTTGTAATAATAATAATAGTAATACTAGTAATAATAAAAAATATGTTGTAATAATTTTAAATACTCCAAATTATCAAAAAGTAGAAGTGAATTAGAGTATTTTTTGCATAGATATGCATGGATTAGAGGCATATGTTGTCTGTTCTGACAGGTTAAGATTGAACAAGTCCATTTTTAGTTTAAGAATAGAACAGCAGTATGTAAATAAATCAGTACTGCTGCAGTCTGAGCTGTATGTTATCATTACTTTTATTTCCTCACAGGCCTTTCCTTTTTAGACTGTTATTAAGAGATGCACAGATTTGTTGGGGAATAAGCCCATGAGAGGAAATAGAGGCTTACTTTTTTAACATTTCTTTTATTCTGTTCATTGAATTCATATGTAATTTATACAGCAATATGCATAATAGTGGAGTACAGGCCATATAAAGTGCTTTTGAATAGCTGGACTTTAATTGAAAGATCAAACAAGAGTCAAACAAGAATTTTCTGGATTTGGCTGTAATGCAGGGTTTGATTTATTCTGTCCAAGGAATTATTATTATTGTATTGTGTGTATACTATGTACAGAAATATTATCGGTCTGGCTTTGCGCTGAAATGTGCAATTGGTGTATTACCAAGTATTAAAGTACGAAATGTTTTCTGTGTCCTGGTGAAAGAAATGAAAGAAGCACAAAGATGATAGAAAAATAAGGTCTATAATAGAACTTTGAGGGACTCACTTTAAATTTAATACATAATCTATAATTTAATTCAAACCTAAAAGGTAGTTGTCCCTGCAACCTGTAACTAGCATGAGATTTCAGCAATAGCAAGCAACAACGATCCAATCAATTCCCCATGGATAAAATCAATTCCCACAGTGCATTCTTTTTGTTAATTAAGCCATTTCATGGATACATACAGCTTTGAAAAGTAATAAGACCTTCTTCATTCTATAAAGATCTAATTTCTTGCATATTTAATATCGTCATATTGCCAATAAAGATTGTGTACCCTGGCTAATGTTGCAAAGGAGGAAGGATGTAATAGAATGGTAGAGATGTCCTCTTTTTAAGAAATATGTCAAAGAACATGTTTTGTTTAATCTTTGTTCCCAGGAATTTGTTTTTCTGTTTTTACCTTTCTAACTTTTGAATTAACATGTGTTGTCTAATACAAATTAGGGCTGTGTGATTTGGGGTACTTATTTAATTGGCAATTTTTAAAACATAATAAATGATTAATTACTTTTTAATATAATTAAATTAATTAATTTTTAAAAAAGAAATTGCCATTTGATTTACTATTTAATTTTGTAATCAAGCTTCAGCTCAATAATTTGTAAACCGTGGCAACAATTCTGTGACAGCTTTTCAAAATGACCTGTTTTTGTTCGCTGTCTGTGACTTTGAAACAAAAATATTCCCATATTACAATTGCTGTTTTTCTTTGATATTAATTGGTCTATTAACGCCATCATCCCACTTGTCAGTGCTTTCCTGTTTGTTTTCTTTCTTTTATTGTGGTCATAGTTTGGTTGCGCAATTCTGATTGGGCAGAACAAAAGTGTGCTCACTCAGTTGATTAGTTAGACTGTTATACATAGCCGGCTGTCACGCATTTTCTCTGTGCGGGGGAAATTAAATAATACATATTTCATATTGCAGCCTCTTGCGGTTAACTAATCGCAGCATTTAAAATTGTGATTTCGATCAATCGCACAGCCCTAATACAAATTGTATAATTTTATTGTTTTATTAATCCACATTATTCTTTACCTTTTTATTTGTTGGTTTGTTTTCATTTGATTGTATGTTCATGACAATACTTATTTATTAGTTAATTTGATTGTTTTGGTTTATTAATATTTCTGTTCTTTTTTCTAAGTTTGAATGGTCATATAATCAACAAATAAACATAAAAAATATACATATTGTCAAATAGAGCATTCTTTTTTTGTCAGAGTAACAAATGTTTTCTTGTGATTTGAAAATCGGTGTAATTCCACCGAATGGTTATTTTTTTACTTATTTGTTTAAAATTAAAACATGGAATTTGTGTTGTTTGAAAATAAAACACGTAAAAACATGCTCTAAATGACAGTGTTTTTTAATTTAAACTTTGAAAAAAAAAATGTCAAGGTGGCACAGTAGGTAGTGCTGTCGCCTCACAGCAAGAAGGTCGCTGGTTCGAGCCTCGGCTGAGTCAGTTGGCGTTTCTGTGTAATGTTTGCACGTTCTCCCCGCATTCGCGTGGGTTTCCCCACAGTCCAAAGGCATGTGGTACAGGTGAATAGGGTAGGCTAAAATTGTCCATAGTGTTTGAGTGTGTATGGATGTTTCCCAGAGATAAGTTGGCGGTTCATTCCGCTGTGGCGACCCTGAATTAATAAAGGGACTATGAATAAAGAAAATGAATAAATGAATAATAAAAAATTTCAACAATTTACAAAATATAAGTTTAAAATCCAGAGAAACAGACTTTTTAAGTGGTCTTTTTTCATATCTGTACGTCACAATAGGGATAAGAGAATTATAACTTTCTTTTCTTGCTGACATTATCAATGATGAATATTCTAATCCTCCAAATCCAAAGTAATCCAAGAGTGAAGGATTAATTGTGGTTTTGTTCTCCTGGTTCAATATAACGATTAGCCATTTTGGGAAGTGTAGCATTGGTATTATTATGACAAGTCAAATCAGTGAAGATAAACCTATGGAGTGCTTAACTCCCTGTTTCTGTCTTTCAGTATCTGTGAGCGGGTGACGCCACGTCTCTCGCATGCTAATTCAGCTGTGGTGCTTTCGGCGGTAAAGGTACTGATGAAGTTTTTGGAGCTCCTGCCCAAAGACTCTGATTACTACAACACTCTTCTGAAGAAGCTCTCTCCTCCCCTCGTCACACTGTTATCTGGCGAACCAGAGGTCCAATATGTGGCGCTCAGGAATATCAACCTTATTGTGCAGAAACGGTAAGATGTCTGTCCTTATTACAATGTTCTTGTTTTTTCTGTGGCATTAAATAAATAGTTCACCAAAGAATCAAAATTGTGTCATCGTTTGGAACCATTTGAGGAAGAGTAAACAGTGAGTAAATGTTTATTTTTGGGTGAGCTATCTTTTTAATGCAAGAGTTTTTATGGTTCTTTATTGTCACTAGATGGCAGTATTGTACAAATATCTTGTTTCATGTTTTGTTTGTCTGAGACTTTGACATTGGATTTTTTATCTCTCTCTCTCTCTCTCTCTCTCTCTCTCTCTCTCTCTCTCTCTCTCTCTCTCTCTCTCTCTCTCTCTCTCTCTCTCTCTGCCTGCAGGCCTGAGATTTTGAAGCAAGAGATTAAAGTGTTCTTTGTCAAGTACAATGACCCTATATATGTCAAGTTGGAGAAACTGGACATCATGATCCGACTAGCCTCTCATGCCAACATCGCCCAGGTATCTCTAAAGATATTTGACTTTTAGCTTTTAAAGTCAGTATGAAATGTAATGCAAACCCATTTCACTCAGTGTTTCTAAGATTCTTTTTTATTTTATTAATTAATTGTTAACAAAACATACAGGCTGAAAAAACTACATAATGAAACATATCAATTCAAAAAGATTCTGATGTTCAACAAAAAGTCATTGTTATTATTTTCTGTCATGGTGTGAAATAAGCAATGAAAGGTTGAGAGTTTTTTATTTTCATTGATTTGTTTTATTTTTATGTTTTTATTGTTTGGGTTTTTACCAAAATCTGGTTCAATTCCATCTCCACATCTACTTTAGAAATATTATTCCCAGAAAAATACATGACGTGTTCAATACTTATTTTCCCCGCTGTAGATAAATATATAGTACTGCGATATTTTCTATGGCGATACTAAACTCGATACACGGATGCTCATATTGATATATTGCAAATATTTTATTACACTATTTGGTCGAATAGTATATTAAGTTAAATCTGATGTTGCTTGGGTTTCCGTTGCAGACAGGAAACAATACACTCAGGGCAAATGTTTTTAACAAGTTATAAACCTGGAATATATTGCAACGTTTAAAAAAAATTACAATAATATTGTATCGTGACACGTGTATCGTGATAAAATTGTATCGTATCGTTGGTGCTCTGGTGATTCCCATGCCTAATGCTTTGTAATGTATTCCTAGCTTGTCTGTTAGGAATAATGAGCAACTGCAGGGTTACAAAGCTCATAGTCTCTAAAAAAAAAGCTTCAGTCAAAGTGCAGATATTACTTTCAAAATTTTTATTAGATCAACAGCATTGTCCTAATTTTACACTTATGGTAAGGGGAGTTAATATTGACCGATCACAGTACATTGGGTCAGCTGGGAAATCAGAACAGTCAGAAATGGGACTTTATAGAAATCAGACGGTTATTCATATGTTTTTGAGCATTAAAGAGTTTGCCCCTTCAAACACACACAAAAACAAAAAATCAGATCAGTCATCATTGACTGACCCTCACCTTTTCCCAAATTTGAGCTTTTTTCTTTCTATTAAAAACAAAAGAACATATTTTGGACAAATGTTGGAATCCGGTATAGCTTTTGACTTTCTTAATTTTTTTTTTCCTTCTATGGATGCCATTGGTTTCCATCATTTCCATTAAAGTATCTTCTTTTGTAGTTAACAGAAAAAATAACCACATAAAGGTTTGAAACCATTTGACAGTGAGCAAGAATTGAGTACATTTTCATTTTCTGTGAACTGTTCTTTGTAGCATGTTAATCTTTTCTGGTGCACTTGCTTAACAAAATAATGACCTTTTAAAATAGCATAACATGCCATCTTTATTGAATATCTTGTTTTTGTAATTGCCTTGAAAATTAGTACAACAATCACATACAACTTGTCAGTGTTTTTCATTTGAAGACTGAGGTAGTCAGCTAAGGTTTAATTAAAACGGAATTAATTACATTATCTCAATGCTTTTTATGGTCACTTATGTTAATGTGGAGGCTGAAGTCTTGCCTGTCATGCTAGCAAACAAATAGTAACAATGTCAGCAGTCCCCTGAGATTTAGATTTCATTAACAGGAAAATGCATCAGCTCTTTATTTCAAATAATAAAATGACAGGACTACATTATATATTAGAAAACGCTGTAACATCAATCCATGTGCAAAAAGGCTGCTGTTTGATCATGCTCTTAAGCAAAACCGGAATATGTACACGTTTTTATTGTCCACTTTGCTTTGTAATTGTCCAGTATGTTTAGAAAGGACCTAATTTTTAGAGGTGTGAATTTACACTGGTCTCACGGTTTGGTTATGATTGTCATGCCATCGATTCGGTTCAATTCCATAACTCAGTGCATCACGGTGCATTGACGATGCTTTCCACACACAGTTTTATATTTTCTTCACAACACAGTAATTCTTGTATTAAAATGTATACATTTATTTTAATACTATTTGTAATATAATTTTGTTCTTTAATACAAACAGTCAGATATAATAACTGTACTTTTAAACAACACAAGTATTTATAGAAAATGAACAAATATAAATATCCCACTCGCTTTCTGAGCCGTCTAGCAAGTTCTTTCCTACACCCCTTTGATTGGTCTCGCGCTCAAAAGAAAGGGTAGTGATTGGCTCTAACGTGCTGGTGCTCTTCTCAGAAGAGTGACACTGATGATTCATAATAGACACGGTGGAGAAAACTCTGCAGAGTATTAGAGCTGAACGATTCTGGCTAAAACGAGAATCGCGATTATTTTTATTTATTTATTTATATGTTTTTTTGTTGCTTAAAATCAAGATCACTAAAGAAACATATGGCACAACATCGATAATAATATTATGTGTAGGTCTTCTGGTTTCTATAAATAATTCTATTCTACTTATAATAAATCTGATGTTGAATTTTTATGTTTGAGATATATGCTTGCAATCTGTCATATTAGACAATTTTATTCACTGGTAAAATCAGACATTTGCCATTATCATTATCATTCAACAATATATAGGCTAGAGTAGTTATACTGACATTGTAAACATTTATTTTCATGTGTGTTCGCTATGAAAGAAAAAACATCAAATGCTTGTCGTAATCATAACTCTAAAATGTGATATGATCATTCAAATGAAGTGCAAACTTTCGGTTTCATTTTGACAGCTAAGTGCTTGTTTATACTTTGCGCGCGGCTCCCAAACGATCACTCTGTGCCACAAATTGAATATTGTGTGCAACTGTATTACCTGTTACTCGCAACATATGCAGGTTCTGTTCACTATTAAGTAGACGCGCGCGTCTATCATTAAGTAGAGCGTGCGCGCCCTCTCTGTGATAACAGCTCACGGTCAGCAGCTTATGTCACGTGTGATTTCCCGATCGTGAAAACATCATGTTAGGACAAAAATGACATTTTTAGGTGAATTATGCCTTATAAATACAGTACATTCAACATCATTTGGAGGTGTCAATGTCACTGAGCAACATGTGTGAAACAATGAAAAGACTCGTGCAGCCGCCTTTTCTTCTCTCCTGAACTTGAAAATATGATTTACAGAATCGTAGAAATCCGGGATTAAGATCGTCTAGGGGGTCGAATCGAGATCGCGATCTTTTAACGATTAATTGTGCAGCTCTAGTCATATCCAGAAGTATCGGTGTAACAGCTGAGAGGAGAGGAAAAGTGATGCCAGCAGGTCAATGGGCCACAGTGTGAGAGAGAGAGAGGGAAAGTTTACTTCCATTCTTTCAATCGCAGTAAAATAGGGGTTTCTGCTGTAAGTGTCAGTGAAAGACTGTCCAGCAAACACACACGCAGTGAAATTGTGCACACAGTTACTGCGTTTTAAAGTAGTTGGAGCGTTGTAAATACTCGCGCTCGCCTCCCTCGCCATACTAAGCTACGGTGACTTATAGCACATATGAGATAAATGATGTCACTACATAGTAACTGGCTATGATTATTACTGAACCGATACCGATTTGTCCTCGTCTGCATCGCGGTGCACTGAAGAAACAATTCATTTTGACACTCCAACTAATTTTCATTAGTTTTTAAAGAATTAAATTAAAGTTAGTAGAACTAAAGTTGCGTTAAAGCTGCATCATTCACTCTTGTTCAGACTACTTAATTAAAATGAGAAGAATCAAAACAATTCTTGAGTTTTTTTGTGGTCAACTTTATTGTTTTATGTTCAATCCATTTAAATTTACAATAACAATCGAGTTAACTTAATTATCAATAGTTTTACATTTTCTGTTCAGTGGTATTTTTATATTCAGAATGAATATAAAAATGAATGGTTTGATTTGAATGCTTAATTGAATTTTTTCCTATTGTAATGTTTATGGATTCATAACAGGCCTAAAGCAAGCAAAACACACAAAGGCAATGTATTTTTTAATTGTTTTAATTATTTTTATATATTTATCTATTTTTTACAAGAACACATGCATGCACTGTAAAAAGCCGTTACTTAAATTCAAAAAGTAAGTAAACCTGTTGACTTAAAATCGACAGGTTGAGCGTTTCACTTCAGCAGTCTTTTTTTGTAGAAATCCACCTACTGTGCTGTTGGTTTCTGTAGGTCCTGGCTGAGCTGAAGGAATATGCCACTGAGGTGGATGTAGACTTTGTTCGGAAAGCCGTGCGAGCCATTGGTCGCTGTGCCATCAAAGTGGAGGTAAGTCTTGCTGCATTATTAAGCTTTTAACCCATGTATATTGTTCAAATAGACTACATTTTCAATATGTTGGTGGCTGTTTTTACCCCATTGACTTCCATTATAGCAACATTTTTTAATTGCAAAGTCTTTACACCAAATAATCATGCATTCTTAAATGTTGGTGGTTTTCTCTCTTGGGAAGATGTCAAATTTACATTTTTTACTGTTGATCATCAGTTGGCACCATTATCTCTGGTATGTTTCTGGTTTTCGTATGGGGTATAAAAACAAATTACATGTGCATGCTTAAATGCACTTACTATGTTTACTATGTTCTGAGAGCTGAGCTGCTTATTTTGATTTTCTCAGATATATCAAGATAAGTGCACAAAGGTCTCTCTAACAAGCACACACATTATACTCTATATAACTCCATATAAAAGTCATAATCTAAGCTTTTTTGCACTGCAACTGATGATCAGCAGCAAAAATTACACATTTTGCCATTCTCCAACAGAGAAAACCATTAACAATCTAGAATACGTAATACTGTGGTGTCATGGCTTTGTAATCAAAACCTGTCATTATAATGAAAGACAATGGGTCAAAAACATTTGCCCTGAGTGTATTGTTGAGTTGTTGTTTCTTATTTTCAAATCATTTTCCCAATATAGTCAAAATTATTAGCCCCCCTTTGATTTTTTTTCTTTTCTTTTTTAAAATATTTCCTAAATTATGTTTAACAGAGCAAGGAAATTTTCACCGTATGTATGAAAATATTTTTTCTTCTGGAGAAAGTCTTAAATGTTTTTATTTTGGCTAGAATAAAAGCAGTTATCAATTTTTTAAAAAACAATTTGAGGACAAATTATTAGCCCCTTTAAGCTATTTTTTCGACTGTCTACAGAACAAACCATTGTTATATACATATATACACATATATACAATAACTTGCCTAATTCCCCTAACCTGCCTAGTTAACCTAATTAACCTAATTAAGCCTTTAAATGTCACTTGAAGCTGTATAGAAGTGTCTTGAAAAATATCTAGCAAATATTATTTACTGTCATCATGGCAAAGACAAAATAAATCAGTTATTAGAAATGAGTTTTTAAAACTATTATGTTTAGACATGTGCTGAAAAAAATCTGCTCTCTGTTAAATTAACACAATTAAAAATTGTGGGAAAAAAACAAACAGTGGGGCTAATAATTCTGACTTTATGTGTCATAATAAGATTTGTCACCAAAAATCATTCCACTTGTTGCAACACAAAGAAAGTTGTGGTCAAATTAAGACTCAAAATCACCCCAGAGTGGATGAAAACTTCCCCAACATAACATAAGGGTTAATATTCACATTTTTATGTCTCACTATTCCACATAACTGTCTGATAAATCTTTTGTTTGCACATAAAATGCACATTCCCAAACATAAATCAGCGTTTTAAAAAATTGTATGTTCTCAAAGTGAGTTTACTAAATGAGTTTAACTTCTGAAAGTCAAGTGTTATTTTGGGGTTTCCGCCTGGATTTTGCCCACCCAAATTCAAAAGATTCCCAAATCCACATGCAGAGGTGTAAATGCAAAAGTTTGGTATCGTTTAAAAAGAAAACTCTTTGAATTGCACAAAACACTGCTGAAAGTGATTAAAATAATTGTATAACATAACATTTGTCATAATAAACAATTTGTTTTTGTAAACTCAAATTTGAATGTGTACCTTTTTTAGGTTCTGTGTGGTCTAGGTTGCTGTAATTAATTTGGTTGATTCCCGCACATGTCAGTAATTTGTTGATTATAAATCTTCACTTGTATCTGTGTTTCTAGCAATCCGCTGAGCGCTGTGTTAGCACCCTGCTGGACCTTATCCAGACCAAAGTCAACTACGTCGTGCAGGAAGCCATTGTGGTCATCAGGGACATCTTCCGCAAATATCCCAACAAGTCAGTCCATAGCTCCCATATATATGCATTCAATTTCTGCATGAAACAGTTTCTCTTGTCTACTCCACCACTCATATCAGTGGGTGCATGATCACAGTGAAAAAACTGTACAAAAGCACGCACATCTCTCTTAATTGGGTGCTCAGCCAAAACCGCAAAAAGTGCAAATTGAATGTAAATCAAAGGCGGCAACACCGAGGCTCCAAAAATACTAATTTATTAAATTAAAAAGGCTGACACAGAGCGTGTAACGTTTCGAGCCGCCGGCTCTTCATCAGACAATGTTTATCACAATCAGGTGCTTCTTTTTATACACTTCCGGATCACATGATCTCCTCTCACATAAATGTCAACATATACATACATGCATATGTATTCATACACAGTCGTTCATATATACATATACATACACATGAATACGAATTGGTTTAAAGGTTTTTTGGCTATATTTTGTTGTATAGTCTGGTGTATCATATATATATATATGTATGTATGTATATATATATATATATATATATATATGTATATGTGTATATATATATATATATATATATATAATTATTATTATTATTATCCCCCCCTTATTTATTTATTTTTCTTTATTATAATTTGTGATGCAATATTATAGTTTATTTATGTATTTATATATATATATTTTTTTTGTAATTTGATTTCTAATATCAAAGCTATAGACTATATGTGAATGTGTATACGTATTCATGTGTATGTATATGTATATATGAACGACTGTGTATGAATACATATGCATGTATGTATATGTTGACATATATGTGAGAGGAGATCATGTGATCCGGAAGTGTATAAAAAGAAGCACCTGATTGTGATAAACATTGTCTGATGAAGAGCCGGCGGCTCGAAACGTTACACGCTCTGTGTCAGCCTTTTTAATTGAATAAATTTGTATTTTTGGAGCCTTGGTGTTGCCGCCTTTGATTTACATTTAATTTGCATGATCACAGTGGAAATTGATTTTCTGCAGCAGTTCAACATACAAGTTAATATCTAGTAAGATGCAATGTTATCTTTTTGTTTTCTATTTTATCAAAGAAAATACTTCCAAACAAAGCCAGAGCAGAACATACGTGCATCTGAGATTAACACTGCTGTGCTTCATTCCGGACTGAATCTGTTCTTGTGATTCAAATGATCCTTTCATAAAGATTCAAATCAAATCAGCAATTTTGAATGAATGGTTTGACTGAATGCTTAATCGAGTTGTTGGTTTCAGTGTAATGCTTATTTATTTATGACAGACCAAAAGCATCCAAAATACCATCACACAAATGCAAAATATTCTTTAATCATGTTAATATAAACCTTAAAAAAATACAAATCTTAAAACCTCTGCTATGATACTTAAAAGTGAAGAGCATCTCAAGGTTTTGCAGAGGTTTTTATGAGTTTGTGTTTCTGAAGAAATCTGGAAAGTCTATGTGGCATAACAGTTTGCCGCTGCTGAAACGTCTCCCTGTAATCTGCACAGGTATGAGAGCATAATCGCCACTCTGTGTGAAAACCTGGACTCTCTGGATGAACCTGACGCTCGAGGAGCCATGATCTGGATTGTTGGCGAATATGCAGAGCGTATCGACAACGCTGATGAGCTACTGGAGAGTTTCCTCGAGGGCTTCCATGATGAAAGCACTCAGGTTTTACATTCTTACTGTTATAAATTAATCAGTATACTATTTATTTTGATGTAATTTTTATCATTATTTGTTTCTTTAATGGTTTGTTGTTGCTTTTTTTCTTTGGTTTTGTGTTTGTGTGTATGTATAATTATCATTATTATTTTTTGGTATCATGTTTTTATCTGGGTTCCTACTGGTCTTGGAATTTTAAAAGGTTTATTCCAGAAATTAAAAGTCAGGAAATGTTTACATTTTTGTCCAATTCATGGAATATCAGGGATTTTTTTGTTGGTCACTATACATTTTAGTTTCCTTTTATCAAGCTGTGATTTTGTATCGGATTGTTTCATGACTAACATTTATATTTAATCATTTAGCAGATGCTTTTGTCGACTTAGTTAAAGACGCATTCAACGATTCAACAAAAAGAGGAAATACACACAATAAGTGCTAGTTATACAAAATAACTGTTAGTGCTCAGAGAATTAAGTGCTAGAGTAAGGAGAAGGGTTATATATAGACAGTAGTGTGTTTCTACAGGTGGTTTGTCAAGCCCACTTCATAAATGTCCTAACCATAGACTGTAAAAAGAAATATGAACGATTTGACAGCGCCTTTTTCTATTAAACGCTTTAAATGCAAAACACCTCATGACAGACAAAAAAACTTCTGAAATTGGAGCCTGGGTATGCGCAGAAGGACTGCCGGATGGAGTCAGAGACCGAGCTGTGGAATCAAGCTTCAAACTAAACGCTTGTATGTCAAATCAACCACGCGCCCCGAACTACTCATTTGACTGCCCGTATCTGCACTGTAACAAAGGCTCGCTAAATAAGTATAAGCACTTACATTTAAAAACAAGTGATAATATACGACTTGTTGAAAAACTGTGATGTAAGCTGGTTTTAATAATTTAATAAAAACAATATATGTTGGACTGCAGGAATAAATGATCTTTCATAAGATAAAGCCTGGTAAAGCCCACACTTTACCAAATAAAGTGATTGAGCAGATCCTGTAGGTCAGAAAGTAAAGTTCACTGCTGAACAACTCATTTTTTTATGGTAAAACAACACTGAAATCGAACATGGATACCTTAATCTCCTACCAAAGCTCAGACGGAGTCGGTCATGATTGCACGCCCTGTTTTTATATCCTTAGATTTCTGGCTAAAAACAGGCTGTTTACAAAAATGAACATTTGAACGTAAATCAGCTTGATAACCACCGTCTCAGTTGACCAAAACCAACTTTCGGGACATTTTATGGCTCAAGTCTCATTCGTTGACACAGAGGAGGCAGGGTTTATGACTTGTACTGCAGCCAGCCTCCAGGGGGCTAACAGCCAGGAGCGTCACTCAAAAGAAGGCGTGAGGCACATTTCATATATCAGAATCAGGATAATATAAGTATTAGGAGCTTTGGCTTCAGAATGTCCACTTTAAAGACTGGAAGTTAAAGGTAGATGACAGAAAAAATAAATATATAAGAGTTGTAAATCTGCAATAGTACTATCAAATATGGAAAAGTGAGCGCTTCACAGCATTGCAATCAGTAAGTACCTCAGATTTTGTTCATAGTCTGAGGTCAGTTATTGGTAACACTTTATTTTGATGGTCCACTTGAGTATTAGTAGACTGTCTATTTAATATCTGCTAATACTGCTCCTTCAACAGACATTTAACTGACTATAAGAAACATGTCATGTCAACTTACACTTACCCCAACCTAACAGTCAACTTATAATCTAATGACAATTAGTTGCCATGTACATGCAATGTGTATTGTCAACTCGCTTCTGTTATTCTGTACTAGCTCATATATTTTTTCTTTATTATTATTATTTTGTTATTTGCATCAATGTTTAAACACCTTATATATGTTAAATAGAGTATTATAAGAAAGTCATGCAAAATGATGTTCTAAACTAGTGTGACTTAACCATCTTTCTTATGACCACCAACAATGCATGTTTTGGATGACTCCTTTGACTGTCAGTCTGATGATCCAAATCATGTTATGATCTGATCTTGGATCTGATGATCCAAAAAAATGTGTTTTGTTATGACACAAGGAACATGTGCAGAGCTCGTGGTCCTACAGGAATGTGGTTGAACAAACGCTGTTCTAAACTATTGTTATGTTATTCTAAGAACAAGAGCAGCCTTTTTTTCTGTTCATTAGGCCATAGAAATTCATCCTTTAGTCTTTTAAGGTCAGGGGCCTCATGTACGAAAACTTGCGTGGAAATCATACTAAAACATTTACATTTACAGCTTTGTGCGTACGCAGAAAAAAAATTCAGATGTATGAAACACTGCGTACGCCGAATCCCACGCAAATTCTTTGTATATCCGAATGAACGTGACACTGAGCGCAACATGCGCGAGCGCAAAACCCCTTCCTGCCTCCTCCCCCCTATGAATATGCTAATTACTATACTTTGGCAAAACCAAACGAAAAAGCACTGGCAAAAGCAAGCAAGAAGAGAAACTTTGAACAGAATGTGAATTGGAGGTGCTCCTTTCAGAGGTAGACCGGAGAAAAGCGGTGTTATTTGCAAGTTTGTCCTCCGGAATTGAGGACATGATGAAGACAAGTAGGAATCATTAATAAGTGTGTGCATCATATTTTATTTGCATATTTATTGAATGGAAATGTTTCTGATTCACGCATGCAAATTCATCTTTATATAGTGTCTTTATAGCAATGTGCGTGCAGTAGATAGCTCCGATTACATTGGGAAAACCGGCGATCGCTCCAAATTGCGCTTTAATGTTTGGCTGGTCAACTGCATGGTATGAAAACCTTATATACCTGCTAGATGAACCCGTCTCATATAGCTCCCATTGGACAAAGACACTTTGTAGAGTGCAATTTAACACAACTGCCTCTAGGAGTCGCCAATGGAAATAAAACAGACACGCACAAAAAATGTGCGTACGCCAGCCATGAAGTTGGCGTGGAGCTGCGCACATTCCCACGTTCATTTCATCTTTAGTAAATCCAAACGTGAGCGATTCTGAGCGTGAAACCTGGCGTACGCAAAGTTTTTGTGCGTACGCAGCGTTGATACATGAGGCCCCAGCGAATTTGGTATTTGGCTTACAGTGGGAACCCTGTTTTATGTGTAGTAGCTTTTTGTTTTGTTTACTGGTATACTATATAACTTCTATAAAAGTGCAGATCTTATTCTACCGCATTGTTATTCTCAGGTCCAGTTGACTCTGCTGACAGCCATAGTGAAGCTGTTCCTGAAGAAGCCCTCTGAGACTCAGGAGCTGGTTCAGCAGGTGCTCAGTCTGGCCACTCAGGTGAGATGCGCTTGACCATTATAAACACTACACCTTGAGATCAGCTAAAATATTTTTGCTTTGCTGTTAGTCACTCCAGGGTTTGAAATAAACTACTTTTGTGGCTACTAACTTTTTTAATCACCTGTCAATTAGAACTTTCTCTCGATTACTAAATTCTCATTTTAGATTTCAATATTTAAATCTGACTCTGAATCACTATTGGATTTGGATTTGAAATCAGTTTTTATTACAGATGCAAAATTCTCTGTGATTCATCTTTTCAATTTAACAGCATTTATTTTGTTACAAATATGGTTACATTGTAAAATAGGATTTCATTAGTTATTGTTAAAGTATTTACTAACATGAACTAATAACGTTGACAAACCATATTCCGTACACAACAATGTTCCATACAGATTACCTTTTAATGCCAATTTCTGAATAAATACTTATGGGTCGTAGGCAAGCTATATATCTATGTAATTTTTATTTCTCACTCTTTCAACCCCAAGTAGAGACCTTCCTACTATATGTTTCCGTGAAAATTCAGTAAGTTTGCTACGATCACCTAATGCGCTTGAAAATAGACAGTTGGCAAACTAAAGGGGCGAGTGTCGCTTGGGAGGGGAGACATTTAAAGCAATGGCAATATGGATTTGCATTTAATTTATGCATCACAGAGTATTACAGTCTTTATGAAGTGAATATTATGTTATCACAAATTGTTAAATAAATGATCGTTTGTTGAATAAATGCTTTGAAATGAGGATATTTACACGCCAGTTGTGGGTGATTACCGCATGGCGCACTTCCGCCAGAGAGCCTGAGAGACAGGCTGCAAACGCTGTTTGGATAATCTTTGTGCAGTGGTGATGTTTATATTCATAAAAGGTCATTCAATTTAGCGTTAATTTGCATGAATTTAATGTTTTAATATTTTTATTGTGATACTGTAATAAAACAAACATGATATAAAAATTAAATGATTGTGAAGTTATTTCATTTCAAACTTTCATAAGAGTTATTAAATATATCATTTACTTAAGTTAAACACAAAAATAGTATATTCTTAGGGATGCACTATATATCGGCGGCCATATCGTTATCGGCCGATAAATGCTATTTGTAAGATTATCGTTATCGATCCGATGTCTAAAATTACCCCAATATCTTTAAGCCGATAAATTACGTAATTGTACAGAACTGCCTGCAGCGCATGTGTGGGCGGAACTTGTTCAGACTTGTTCAGTGCACTATAATGGATCTCTCCTGTATTTTGGTTATTCCTTCAAAGTCCGTCATTTCTTTGTGTGTTATTGCTGTGCGTTAATAAGTCAGTAAGTAACCACGTTCCTCATCATTGTATATATGTTTGATAGAGTGCCATTGTGTATTTTGCTTTAAATCGCCTCAGGAAAAAAATATTACGTGTAAACCTTTCCTGCTCTGTCTCTTTGTTGTGTTAGAGATAGCAGAGGAGATTCACTTACTCCAGGGCTGAATGATATTAGTTTCGGGGTTAAATCCCTTCTCTTTTAGTTGCATCCGGTGAATGAACGAGGACACATGTAACTTGGTCCAATCATCCCTGAAAACAGTATTATTGCGAAAAAAAAAAACGCTTCCCTTTTCTGTGTCTCCCTCTCTTATGAAGTTTGCTGCATAAAAATATAACATTTTGATTATGTTATATTATTATATATTTTGATTTTTAATAAGACGTCAAACAATGCCCATTTTTGCTAGTGAATTAAAGTTATGCACACTGTACAGAACACCATTTTAGTCGTGAACGGAACACCGTTAATATATATTATCTTTGGTACAAATGCGAAAGCCGTACTTTTCCCATCTTTTCTCAAAAACTACTGGTTCAAAAGACATTAATCATAATTTAGATTGTGCAATAGGTATTCACCCAGAGATTGAACACACAAACATGCTTATCTGGCTTTCAATGACGGAGGAGTGGTCGTTTGAGTGCACTGAATAGCGAAAAGTGTATGGAACATTGTTAGTCTTCGTTATTTATTACTACTACAGCATTTACTAATCATGTACTTGTTGTTTGTTCATGTTAGAAAAGACATTAAAACCACCTTATTGTAAATAAATTCCCTGTAATTGATCTTACTAAATAGTTGATCATAATTAAACACACTTTTAAATAAGACAAAATAAATTTAGACTTGGTGCAAACATGCCGACAATAATATTCCTTAGAATATTACACTATGAAATATTATAACAAATAGCATCTGATAAAGTATTTATATGTATTTAAATATTTCATTTGCCACACTTAGTGCTTGAATAGTTGAATAGTAGAGAAAATGAGAGAAATGCTTATATTTGACTTTGGAAAAGGTGAAAGAATCCTGAAAAAAGTGAGTGTGAGCCTTTTTTTAACTGTAGGCACTTCTTGGCGTTTCCATCCATTGTTCATTATTAATACAAGAGTTTTTTCTTCTTAGGACTCTGATAACCCTGACCTGCGTGACCGCGGCTACATCTACTGGCGTCTGCTGTCCACTGATCCTGTCACCGCTAAAGAGGTGGTGCTGTCTGAGAAACCTCTGATCTCAGAGGAGACGGACCTGATTGAGCCCACCCTGCTGGACGAGCTCATCTGCCACATTGGCTCGCTGGCCTCAGTCTACCACAAGCCCCCAAATGCCTTTGTGGAGGGAAGCCATGGCATTCATCGCAAACATCTGCCCATCCAGCACGGCAGGTACCTACTATCCTATAAGATGCTATTCCCATAACTAAAGTTGATCACTTTTTTTCATGTAACTTGAGTGTTTTTAAAGGGTTCACCTAAATCAGGGGTGCCCAAAATCGGTCATGGTGGGCCGGTGTCCTGTAAAGTTTAGTTCCAAACCCATTTAGACACACCTGGGCTAGCTGATCAAGCTCTTACTAGGCTTTCTAGAAACATCCTTGCAGGTGTGTTGAGGCAAGTTGGAGCTAAAATCAACAGGACACTGGCCCTCCAGGACCAAGTTTGGACACCCCTGACCTAAATACTTGAAAAATACAAGGAAGAAATGCTTGAAACACTGTGTTGGTCCAAACTCCTCTATGTTTATGGTCATATTGTCATAACAATCAAGGGAGGGGCCCAAATTGTGCAATATAAAGGGGACAAACGATTCAGACAGTGTACATTTGGTTTCCATTCAGGTGAATGAAGTCTTATCTGCTTTGGCTCATAAGTCTCACAACATATCAGAGCAATTTGAATTACACTGAAAGTTGTATTTTATAGCAAAGAAATAATTAGAAACTCAGCATTGCTATTATGGACTGTGGCTGACATTTAACCTAATGACTGGCTGAACTTTAATATAGGCAAAAATACTATTAGCTATTTTTTAAAAGAGGAGGAGCATATCTCAATATGTCCCGTCCTGTTTTCATATTTTAGTTGAAATTATGCCACACGTCGAACAAAGCTGCTCACTTTAAAGCGATAGTTCACCCCAAAATTTTAATTCTCCACCATGAAACAAAAATTTTTTTACTTAACTTAAAAATGTAAGGCAAATTGATGAACAGCTTTTGAGTTAAGTTGAGTCAATACAAAAAAGCAAGTTGCCTTACAATTTTAAGTTGAGTCAACTTTTTCTTTTATTTTTGTGTGTGTGTTTTATTTTGTGTCATCATTTACTCACCGTTTGCTTGTTTCAAAGTTTCTTATTTCTCTTAAACCCAAAAGAAGATGTTTTGAAGAATGATGGAAACCTGTAACCATTGACTTCCATAGTATTTGTTTTTTTTCTATTCAATGGTTTCAGGTATTCAGCATTCTTCAAAATATATTTTGTGTTCAACAGAATAAAAAAAGCACAAGCATTTGCATCCACAAGAAGGTGAGTAAATAATGAGTAAATGTTTATTTTTGGGTGGACTATCCATTTAAGGCCATTTCAGGAGACCTTTAAAAAGTGTTAATCTAACAAACAACTCAAAATCCCAATGTCATGGTGGTCTGTCATCTCAAAAGTTCTGAAATCATGGTTATTTGTTTATCTCTCTCGCTTTTCTAAAAAAAAAAAAAAAAGGATGTCTGAATCAGTCTCAGTCTAGTAATACAATGGGGGACTCACTGAGAGTAGAGCCACACAGAACCTGCGTTGTCCTCTCTATTAGAACAATGAAAAAACACTTGTCGGTCCAATCCTTTGTTCAATTAGTGTTGCCTTTCTCAGTTTGTATACTCTTCTTTCACAGTATCGACACCGGGGAGAGTCCCGTCAGTACCGGCCCGGCTGCTTCCATTGATCAACCCCAGGTCATCCCATCTCAGGGTGACCTTCTGGGAGACCTGCTTAATCTGGACCTCGGGCCACCGGTCAATGTGCCCCAGGTGTCCTCCATGCAGATAGCGGCTGTGGATCTCCTGGGAGGTGGTCTTGACAGTTTGGTGCGTATTTTGATTTTTTTTTACATCTGTCATGTCTGCATCATGGTTACTCCAAATATTATTTCCAATTACTAATCCTGCAATAATTAGGGTTTAATAATTATTAATTATAATTTTAGAATTTAAAAAAATTTAAATAGGTTTTAATGAATAATTAATATATATTTTTAGTATTTTAGTCTTGTTTTCTTTTATATAAACTCTTTTATATTGAACTATATATACTATTTTTGAACAAGGAACATTTAACTAGCACCATTTAGTAAGATAGGAAGACTTTTTTTGTTGTTCCCCAAGATTTGTTTTGCTTTTCTTTTGTAGAAGTATTGTTTTAGCATTGCAGATACACTATTGTAATTTGTGTTAATCATTTGAAGTAGTTTTATGATTATGTTCTTTTCTTTTAACATTTTGGGTAAAGATTTTGTAATTTAAAAATGTTTGACTTTTTTTTTTTTTTTAACCTGTCTTAACTTACAGTTTTTATGCATTTTTTAGTTGTAGTTGTTTTAGTATCTCAAGTTAAGCCAAACAATAAGAAAATAACAATTTGCTTACGACTAATATAAAAACTAATATTGCAGATATTAGTAGCAAATATTTGTTATGTTTATAAATTTATTTACTTTAAAATAACCCTAAATAATATTAATATTCATGCTTTTCAAGTAATGTTGTAATTTATATGCTTTTTATTTAGAATTTTTGTGATAATTTAGAAAAATAAATTATGGATGGAACAATTTAAAAATGTATACATTTAGATTTTGTCAAATTAAAAGAAATTAAACATAAAGGCATAGTAATAGGCATAAATTCATAGGTAATAAACAAAGACAATAAAAAAATGTTTATAGTTTCAGGGTAAAAATAAATAAATAAAAAAAAGCTGAAAAGCTTTTCTGTACAGCTACATTACAGAAAATGTTGTGCTGTAAAACAAATATGCATGGAAAAATGTGCATTTCTCTGTAGTCTTGTATCCTGCATTGTTTTGGTTAAAGTAGCAGTTTGCATATCTGTAGACTGAACATGTAATAAACATACGTATAAAATTGCATGCTATAAAACCCTTTTTTTCCTGGCTCCAAAACACCTTCTTGTGTAAACTAATTGCCAAAATGCAAGTGTTTTTCCTTCTGCCAACTAGTCAACAATTTTATTTTCTGTTATTCAGCGCTTAATAAGGTTTGTAATTATATTCACTTAAGAATGAGCTCAAAATTTGTCATTCAGAAGCATTTGCCATGCACAGTCCTGTCCTTAGAGGCGCCCATCCTGATGCTGCTGTAGGATTTTCATTCAGTTTAGTAGTTTTCTAGGGTTTGTGTGTTAACTGGTGCATGTGTTGTTGAGGGGATTCAGACCGCTCTGCTCAGCATGACATGATTGCAGCAGTATATTTTACATTTGAGAGGTCTTCAAGTGAACAACAAAGTGAAGAATGGCAGGGTCAGACAGCAGCGTTTTGCTGCAATAGGAATGGGATTTAATTAATACTCTGACTTTCAATTAGGCGGTTATCGTTTATTGACACATTGCTAATTTCTGCTTTGCACTGGCAATCCAAATGTGATAAATAAAGCAGAAAGTAAAGGATGATCACAACTATTTATGTTGTTGTACATAAAATGGATTAGAGGATTTTTACTAATTTATTTAAGACTTCTGATTATTCACTGATTTATGTGCTTATGTAGATAATATAGTGCCTGATGAAATATGTAAATGAATTTATTTAAATTTTTATAGATTGAAAATGGGGATATACATGGCCATAGCTGAATAATTAGAGCTTTGGAATTGAAAATGACATACCATGCGCCTTATTTAACATTGTTTTCTTGTTCTCATGAAAATTACGTTAGTGTAAAATCCTAGGCCATAATGAACAAAGTACTCTGACAATGCACATTGGATTATTAATATGCACGCTTCAGGCAGCATTTGATTGGCCACAATGTTTCCTAATTAGATTACAACAATTCTATTTTTTTTCCATTATTCAGTTATAGATGTAGGACTCTTATTATGAAAACAAGACCAGCATTATAGAAAATTGGTAATGCAATAAGGCATGGAGTATCTCACCTTATCACAGCCTACTGCAAAATTTGTGAAAGGCAGATTATAATTTTATTTAGAGGCCCAAAGTGGCATAGGGTCAGTTTATCTGTAACTTTTGTTTGTTTAACGTGTGCATTGTGAAATTTGTTGTCTATATTTGTAACGAGGCAACAAAAATCTGCTGAATGTAAACAAAAACCTCTTAACATTATAGGTTAAATTTAGTCAAAACTAAAATTCAGATGTGTTTTATTTTGATTTATGTGTAGCTGCAGGGCTGGTGTGTGTTGATCTGGAGAGGCTGTAGTACAGTATATGCAGTGTTTTCACTTTCTAGCAGAACTCAAAGTGTTTTATCACAACAGCCACAGGCTCTTCTCTCCTAAACACACTGCAGCCACAGCACCACAACCTCAGGGCTGAATGTGTTGCCCACTTATACACAGCCATCATCCCACATAAAAATCTTCAGCTCAACTCACATACACAGTACCCGAGGGTAGCTGAGGAGATTTACATTTTTTGCTTGGGATGTGTGCAAATCTCGCATGCTCTCTTAAAGGGCAAAAAGTAAGTGTACTGACAAAAGTAAGCCTTCACAAAATCATTACTTATTTACAGTGATACTATATTTTGAGGTGATTTAGTTACACATATTCCACCATACTGTATTGTATTTTCTAGAAAGAAATGTAATTTATTTGTAATCGAATATGTTTACCTCACCTGTTTTTCTTCATATGGACAACTTTTTGTGGCATGGTGAATTTGATGAGTAGCTAACTTCGTACTTCTGATTGATAACACGCAGTGAAGCACAGTTCTACAAAAGGGATAAAAAAAGCCATGTAAAATCAAGGTAAAACTATGTGGTCGTTTTGTTTTGCATGTGTTTTTGAAAATACAGTTGGTTAGGTTTGGGCCGGTGATTCGCTCAGTTATCTGTACTACAAGCCCTGTATTATATTTCATATTCACAAAAGTGTAAACAGCGCCCTCATGTGGATTTGTCATCTGAAACGTGAAAATAAACATATTCGGAGAAACATATTTTACATTTAACAAAATGTAGGCTTAGGGGCGTATTTCCAATCAGCCTGGGCTGGTCATTTATGACATGCATGATGTCATTCAGAAAGCAGAACAAGCAAAAGAGAGTATAAGCTGACTATGGTTATGCAAATTATGTAATTAAAAAAGGAATTGTTGCTATATAGCTCTTATTCATAATCCCAGCTAGTAGCAGTAACGCCATCATCTTGATTTTGTTTCGCCATGCTTGAGAGCTACATACAGAAGAGCTTCTGTGCTCCTATTGGTCAAAGATGTGATAGACAACCAATTAAAAAAAGAAAGTATCACACTATGGCATAAAACGTTGGGTTCTTGCATCTTGGTGTCTATTGTTGTTAATGAATCCCCATCATACCCTGCATCTGATGGATTATTCCAAATTTGGGTGAACATTGTATAATCTCAACCTGGATGTACTGTGACAGTCGGAGGTGGGTTGTAACGAATCATATTTACTTTATTTACTTGAGTAAAATTGTTGGGTAACTTATGCTTTTTGAGTACATTTAAAGATGTGTACTTCTACTCAAGTAAACTTTTATGAACATATTTAATAAAATTAACTAAGTTAATAAAATAACAAATTTGTAAAAACTTCACTTTTCAATACATTTGGCAACGTTCCTCCGTTACTGTCAAATGATAATACATAGGTTTTATACGATGTGCACTGTATTAGGGAAGTTGTGTTGCGAAAGGTTGCTATAGAGATGTGCATCTCGCTTTTGTTTATCTTGCGCCTGTGAATTCCAGCTCCAACCTGAAAAAGCCTGTTGTGGTAAGGGTCACATTTATGCTAATTTGAACCCTAACAATAGTAATTTGATAACTACGGGCACTTTTAGCATGTTGTAATTACACATGTCCAAGTGTTTTCCCTCTATCGTGCAAGCAGACAGACATCTTGTGAACACTAGAACCACACACTTTCATCAACAAAGCTACGTTCTAAACATTTTCTCAACCGTTTTACACAAAACCAAATAAATTGAATGGCACGCTCTTTCATTTAGACACGAAAACGAATTTAGTTTTTTAATAGTCTATCCACCCCTGGTGTAGAGCTGGACGATTTGGCCTAAAATCTAAATCTCGATTAATTGAACATTTTATCTTGATTCCCATTAATGAACGATTCTTTTATTTATTTATTTTTTTGCCCTCTCCGCGCTGCCTACGCTTGTCAACTCTACCAATCTGACCAATCACAGAGCTTGCGCTATCGTCGCAAACGTGTAGTTACAGTTTTTGAGAGGTCAGCATTAGTCACAGTGAGGGGTATGCAAACGCATGAAGGCTGCGCTCAACGCAGAAGTGTAAACCGAGCTGGGTCACGTGACTCCACACGTGGTAGGGAAAGTAATTTAAAAAATTTGACAAATTTGATTGATTATAGCAGTGGTCACCAAACTTGTTCCTGAAGGGCCGGTGTCCTGCAGATTTTAGCTCCAATCCTAATCAAACACACCTGAACAAGTTAATCAAGCTCTTACTAGGTATACTTGAAACATTTAGGCAGGTGTGTTGAGGCCAGAGCTAAACCCTGCAGGGACACCGGCCCTCCAGGACCGAAATTGGTGACCCTTGGATTATAGGTTCTGAATGTCGATTTCGATTAATCGCCCAGCCCTACACTGGTGACACTCACAAAGGCTATTGAGCTCTAAAAAATGACTAATAAAAATTCATTTCAACACCCTTATTGTGCTCAATTGTAGAAAATGACACTGTCTGGAGCAAGACGAGGTTGAATAAATGACTGAATCCTTATATTGGATGGACCGTCCTATTAATAGCGATAGGGATATTCATGGGAAATGCATTTTAAAGGGACCTGCCAGAATCCTCACATCCAGAAA